AGCTAGAAGGAAAAAAAAACAAAAAAAAAACAGGCCCATGGTTAGGGCATGGCCGAGATGTCTCGGCCACACCCCGGATTGCCCACTGCGGAGTTGTCCCGGTCACACCCCAGACTGGTCACGACCAAGATGTCTGGGCCACAACCCAGATTGGCCACGGCCCAGATGTAGCCTGGGCGTGGCGGGGCCGCCCTACACAATTCGGACCTGGGTCTTTATTTCAACAGTACAGGATGGGGGTCAAAGAAGAAAAAGGAAAGAAAAAGAGAAGAAAAAAAAGAAAAGAAACAAGGAACACGTAGGTGGAAGTTTTCTTTGTTGTGAGGAATGTATCTGGCTAGTATGCGAGGACCGTGAGACATGTAGTTTTCTTTGTTTTCTTTTTGTTGTGAGGTCCTTCTAGCGCCCTGCCAGCCAGGCAGGGCGGATTCCACGTGAGGCAGCTAACTGCCTCGTTTCATTCAGTTCCAGACAAGTACTGTAGCATCCTGTATTGGACCGCAATCACAGATTCACAGTATAAGGGGTGCTTTTTTTTTCTTTTTTTTCTGCTGTTCGTGGATGGACGAGGGCCCTGACTGAACTGCTACCTAAAGGTTGCCCGAGTTTCAAATGCAATTGAAACTTGGGTCCTGACTAAACTGCTAAAACGCAATTTCATATGCAATTACAAACTGCTTTCGTGACTGCGCCTTAGTTACCCGCAAAAAAATATGTTCACCCGAACATGTTCGCGCGAACGTGAAGGGGCGCGAACAGGTTCGCCGTGCTAGAATCTAGCCAAAGATTCATTCCGATTTTGCTCATCCTGATGATCGACGTAGCCTCTCAATCTCTCTGTGCGCATGGCTGGAATGCAGTGCATATTTCCATGTTCTAGCGGAAGATTCCTTCCGATTTTGCTCATCCCATTGATTTCAAACAAAGGTCACACTCTTCCTCCCCCATCCCGTACACCTGTCTCTTATACACATCTAGATGTGTATAAGAGACAGGTGTGTGTGTGTGTGTGTGTGTGTGTGTGTGTGCTGTCTCTTATACGCTTCAACTTTGGCCCCTCCTGCTGCACAAGCACGGTGCCTATGCCATATTGGCTAGCATCCATGGTTACTATAAATGGCTTGTCAGGATCGGGAAGT